GGGCTCCTGCTCAGCACCTGGGGGCCTACCCTTCTCCACCAGGCCTCGCTCTGGACAACCCCTAAGTCAGGGACCTCCCCAGCTGTCCCTCTCTACAGCCCGCCCAAGGCCATAACTTAGGTCCCAGGACTGTGGCCTACCCCAAGGGTGAGAAGCCAGGAAGCAGAGATGGAAATAAACAGAGAGTCTCCCCCGACAGGAGCCAGTCCAGAGTAGAGGTCGCTTCTGAGGCCCCATGAGGCCCAGCACCCTGTTAGAGCTCTGCCGGCTCCTCCAGGGTTGCCGCCTTCACCCCAACCCTAACTGTAACTAATTATGCATAATCAATTAACTTCTCTTCCCTGGATCCGGGTCTCCACATCCTCAGTGGGCATATGAGAAGCACCTTTTGGATGAGGGAGTGGATTACGTCATCCCTGACCTCCCAGCCTTCAGAGACCCTGTGGGCTAAAGTTTGCAGGGGCTATGCCTTGGCTCCTCTAATTATCGGGGGGCTCAGATCCTACACGATCACTGCCTGGGTATCGGTGCTTCTGTGACCATCTTCTGGAAACTGCAGGGCCCCACAGACCTGTCTCTGCTCAAATGCTGCTTGTCCCCCCACCCCCCATGCCCTAATGCCTTAGCTTCTCAAAGGTCTCAGCTCTGCCCACATTTCCAGGATCCCAGGATCTCACCCCTGGAGGTCACGAGAGCATGCTCCATCCCTCCTCCAAGCCCCACCCCCCACCCCGTTCCTAAGGCAAACACTCCTGCCACATCCATGTCCTTGCTGTCATCCAATTGTCCCTTTCATTTCAACCCTCCCGCCTCAGCTGTGTGTCCTGTCTCAGGCTGAATGAGTGATCGAGTGCTAGGGGTGTATGAGCCACCAGCAGGAAACGGAGGGGTATACCTGCCAGCTTGGGATATCCCATGCTGGAGAGCAACAACGGTGTCCAGAGGCTTCCCCGTAAATTTTGGAAAATAGGGAACTCACTGTGGAAGCTTCAATTTTAAGTTCGAGAAAACATAAATTCTATTAAAGAGCACATGGGCTGCGATGGACTGAATTATGTCCCCTCAAAATTCACATGTTGAAGTCACCACCCCCAAAGGTGACGTATCTGAAGAGAGCATCCTTAGGTAGTCATTAATGTTACATGAAGTCCAAGGGTGGGACCCTAATCCAACAGGATTGGTGTCTTTACATGAAGAGGAAGAGAGACCAGGGCTCTGATCTCTGAGCATTTGTAGGCCAGGAAGAGAGGCCTCAGCAGGCACTGAACTGGCCCAGACCTCCCAGCCTCCAGCCACGAGGAAGTAAATGTCTGTTGTTTAAGGCGCCCAGTCTGTGGTGTTTTGTCACGCCAGGAAGAGCCAAACAGTCCATGGAATGTCACTCAATCTCTCATGAGGTCCACAGGAGATCACTTAGCCTGAGCAGGTGGGACCCTGGGGTGGCCTAGGAATGACAATAGCCAGGGCCCTTCACCAAGGCTTGCAGTGGACCATGTGTGGCTAGGGGCAGCCACGTTCTACCTCGTCAAACTCTTCATCTCCGCTGGGTGCTGATGGGAGCTGTGTGACCCTATTTTACTGATGCAGATGTGGAGGTCCAGAGTGGATCAGTGACTTGGGACCTCAGCCCAAGTCTGTCTGAACCTATAGCTCTGGGCACAAGCACCTCATGATCCTGCTGTTGCGGAAGAGGGAAGTTGGCCCTCCCTGGTCCTTGCAGGAACATGAAGCCACTCCAGAAATATGGATGAGCCCCTTGGACACAGCCGGGAGACCCACACACTGCAGAGCCTGTGTGGGAACAGTTACTGGCAAGTCTCGGGAGACCTGCAGCATCCTGAGACACAGGGTGGACCAATGGCCCCTTGTCCTGTCCAGGGGAGCCTACAACTCTCTTTCCAGCCTAAGGCCATTCTTCCCCATCTGCTTTGAATATGCTAAAGAAACTGACTCTGTCTTAGCAAAGGGCCTCTGTCGCTATGATGCCTTGTCCCCAAGCCCATCATCTCTTAATGAGAGCCATCACCACCAAACCTGTCTCCTGCTTTTCCTGTGTCCCCTGCAGTCTACTCAGCACACAGCAGCTAGGATCCACCCTTCAGAGACAAATCAGGTCACATCACAGCCCTGCTCAAACACTCCACTGATATCCCATCCAACTTGCAATAACATTCCAGCTCCTGACCTTAAAATTACAAAGCTGTTTGGGATCGGCCATGCTAACCCCTTGTTCCTACTGTCCCAGATACCTTCATTAGTTCCTTGAACAAACCCAGCTAGTTCTGCCTCAGGGCCTTTGTGCTTCCCTTTCCTCTGCCTGGGATAGTTCCCACCCAGATCTTCCCAGGCCCGACTCTTGCTTTGAGTCTGAGCTCAGAGAAGCCTCCCAGAGCACCCAGGTGTAGGTTATTACATCACTTTGTTTGAATTCAATGTGGAGCCTTCAGTCAACTTGACATTGTTTTAGGTTTATCCATATTCATCTATTTCTCTTCTCCCACCCCTGAAAAATAAACTCCAGGAGAGCAAAGATTTGTCTAACTCATTCCAGGTACGGCCAGCACCTAGAATGGGTACTGCACACAATGGGCCTTCTACTACTTAAAGAATGGGTGCCTATGAATGAACGAAAATGCCATCTTCTTAAAGACAGATGAAGAAAACTGCCAAATGCCCCTCATCAGCAGGGGCTCATCCAGTAGCCCCTCTTCCTACCTTTGCTTGGGTGCAAGTCCCCTCTGAAGCTCAAAGGGCTCCTCTGCCTCCCGCCCAGGCCAGGACCTAGTCCTCAGCCTGCTGCAGAATAAGAACCCCTTTGGCTGGGTGCTGTGGCACGTCCCCATCATCCCAGCTCTTCAGGAGGCTGAGGAAGGATATCAGAAGGGCCAGCCTCGGCAACTTAGAGAGACCCTGTCTCAATAAAATTAACAGAGCAGGGTGTAGCTCAGGGTAGAGTGCTTACCTAGCTAGCACATGCAAGGTCTTGGATTCCAACTCCTGTACTGAAAAGGAAGAGAGGTGGGTGTGGTGGTGGGAGAAGGAGAGAGAGGGGGAGAGGGAGGGAGGGAGGGAGAGAGGGAGAGAGAGGGAGAGAGAGGGAGAGAGAGAGAGAGAGAGAGAGAGAGAGAGAGAGAGAGAGAGAAAACCACTTCAAATAGAAAAGTCCTCCTGAGGAGCCCAGAGCTCCAGGGTACCAGGCAGTGGGGGCGGGGAGAGAGATTGGAGGAACAATTTCCCTTCAGGCCCACATCCAGCTGAGGTCCTCCCCTGGGACCCCACGTTGCCTAGGAAATGGCTCTCCCAGGAGCAGCTGGCATTCACTTTTCACAGCCAGGGGCCGAAGCCTGCCTCTCAGGGGAAGGAGAGAGGGTTCTGCCCTTGTTCATGGTGCCATAAACCTGGAATTGGAGCCGTGTGGGTTGAGAGGCAGGAGGAGGAAACAGGCTGCTGGGGCCTATTGTCCCAGGTAGGAAGCACAAACAACTTCACCTGCTCAAGCCCTAAGCGTGAGGCAACCCGAGTCCCCATTGGTCTCCAGTCCAGGGGCTGGAGAGAAGCTGGGACACCATGACACTAGGGCCCTGTCACACCTCCACCACACTTGGGCCAACGAATCCACGTTCCTCAGTCCAATTCACCACATGTGACAAAGTCAGGGGGAAAAAATGACCATACCCCCAAATTCTCACCTTCCCGTTTAGTAACTGGTTACATTAACCTCTTTCTCATCCAGCTTGAATGACACTGAAAATGCCCTTGTCAAGGTGGCCAATGGCCTCAGTGTTCCAAGTTCATATTTACTCGACTATTCCATCTGTTTTAGTTCTCTCAACCCTTGTCACCCCTGACCCCTCTCCACCCCAGTTTTATATTTCCTGTTATTCCTTCCCAGATTTATTACTTTCCAAAATCATCTGATTTATTTGATCGTTACTTGTTTTTTGTTTCCTGGCCCAATGTCATCTCGAGAGATAGGGTTCTTTTTTTCTGTCTTGTTCATTATAACAACTCCAGCTTTAAAACAGTGACTGACACATGGAAGTTACTTGAGGATGTGTTCCAGCAAAATGAGGATTAAAAAAAAAAAAAGAGGAAGACATGGTATCTTGGGAATACTATCTCTCACCTGGGAGGACAGCAAAGGACAGTCCCATGATTGCTGTGTCACAACTATTCTAGTCTAGAGCAGGCATAAAAATCTAGAAAGGGTTCTTTTAGGAGAAAATAGGAAATAGGTTCGGTGTGACAGAGAGCAAAATCGAGATACTGAATAATCTTGAAGATCAGAAGGACATATTTCTTTGGGCAATAAGAAATGCAATTAGAAACACCAGGGAAAACTAAAAACACACACTCTCTCTCTACACACACACACACACACACATTATGTATATATATAGTCCTGGACTCAATATGAAACAATTTAACATGTGACACAATTTACAATAAGGAGAAAATCTATTTGCTCTTGCTGCAAAGATCATTTTTCATTGAGTGACCAGAGACCAAGAAAGCAGACCAATAGAATAGGAAGTACACTCCTAGCACATGACTTGGCCCTGAGGAAAACAGTATTTACTTATTGTGTGTCTCTGTGCCAGGCAAGATTTTAAGAGCCTCGAATTTAATATATTTGATCTTCACAGCTCCGAGGTATATGTTATCATTACCCCTACTTTACAGATGAGGAAACTGAGGCATGAAATAGTAGCCAAGTTTTCTGAGGTCATATGGCTAGTGTAAGAGCCAGATGCACACCCCAGCTCTGACCCAAAGTCCACTTCTTGGAGCGATCCCTAGAAGCCAGGTCCTCTCCTCTCATCTTCAGGCCCTGGTCCTGTTTGCCAAGAGGCAGAGAACACCACATGCATGCATAAACACAGGCATGAACACATGCACACTCCCTCTCTCACTCCTGGGAGCCAAGATGCAAAGCCACAGAGCAGCAGAGCTGGTCAAGGCGGGAGAGTCAGAATAGAAGGGTCAGAGCAGGGCCTTACCTTCCTGCAGTCTTTGCAGAATACTGATGAGCTGCCCAGGAAGCCCAGCACCTCCCCACAGAGCAGACACTGGGAGAGGCCGTTCCCCATCACATTCCGCCTCATGGTCTCCAGCCGTTCCACCAGGCGCCTGCAGCACAGGACACGGAATCAGAAGGAATGTGCTTCCTGTCCCCGACACAACCACTGCCTGAGCATGGCTGCCACAGGGCCCCAACACTGGACCATGCCACAGGTACTGTTCTCTCACGGATCATTCATTTTATTCACCAACTATCAACTGAGCACTTCCAATGCCCCAAGCACTGGGGATATTGGAGCAAACTAGCCAGAGAAAGACACGGCCGGCCCCAGCTTCCATGGAACTTCCACTCAATAAGAAAAATCCATAAACAAGCAAACTGGGTCGGGAAACAGAGACGCACTGTGGAATGCAAAGAATGGGGGTGTGGGGAGGACGACCGAGGGGGCCAGAGGCGCTGGTGGCCAGCAAAGGCTGTGAAAACATGGGACCTGAGATGGAGGATGGCCAGGACCCAGCAGGAAAGGCAGAGGGAACAGCAGAGCTAAGGCTCAGGCAGAGAAATGGCCACCGGTAAGAAGGTCATCAGGGCCACTGCCTCGTGAGCAGACAGTGACCCAGTGCAGCTGGAGGGGCGAGCAGGGGCCAGATCACGGGGGTTCAGGCCACAAATTGGAGCCCGTTTTTTTTTTTTTTTTTTTTTCCTAAGCTCAATCCAAAGCCACTGAAGAGTTTTAAAGAGAGGAGTGATTGGATCTAAAGTGACATTTTAAAAAGCTCACCCTGGCTTCTGTGGAAAGCTGGGATAACAGGGAGAGCCGAAGGGAGGATGCTAAGAGGAACTGGGCCTGGGGCCCCAGGAGAGAGGACAGAGACTGGGTGGGTATTTCTGAAGCATCCTGCATGGCTTGGTGGGGGGAGGGGAGAAAGACCCAGGATGACGGGGTGGCTCTGGGTCTGAGCAGCAGGGCAGAGGAGAGGTTGTCACAGGAAAGAAAAAAGGGCTCTTCTTGGAAATGCTGAGAGGGTGAGCGTCCAGGGCACTTCTCTGAACCCTGCCAAGCCTGGGCAGGTGCCTCTCCTGCGGCCCCTGGTCACACCACAGCCTCTGCTGCTCCACAACCTGTGTGAAACCTACAGGCCCCATGGAATTGACTGGGCTTGTCAGCCACTGTACTGCCAGGAGCCAGGGGCCACTCAGGAAAAATTCTTGAACGAAGGAAAGGACAATACGCAGGCATTACAGCCCCAGTGAAAGGCACGTTGCATTTCCCATTTCAGAGATGAGAAGACTAAGGTTCCAAAATAGGAGGCTACTGGCTAGAATCACAAAGCTCCCAAGAGGCGGAGCCCCACGCCTTCCCCTGAGATGGTGAGCGGCTGCCACTGGGGCCGAGAGATAGCAGGCTGGGTCACAAGGCCACCTCTGCACCTGCCCTCCAGCCAGCACTGATGGCTTCCACGGGGGTCATGTCCCTAATGCCGGGACCCGCAGGGCCTGGGCCAAACCGAGCTCCAGCCCTGGCATGACCCACTTGTTCCTGGGGACCCTCTGTCACTCCATCCCATGTTTCTGTCACCTAAACACATAGGATGCACCTCTTCTATCTGAACCATGAACCTGTGTTGTGACCTTCTGGGTCATTCCATGTCCCTGCCGACCCAGCGCTCGCCGTGGAGCCAGACAACAGGAAGGACTCCGTAAAACTGCTCAGAGAGGCAAAGAAGCACCCCGATGGCTGAGGGGACCCCATGAATGCTCTTTTCCACCATGAAGGCTTCTGGGGGGAATCAGAAGCCCAGGAGATCAATCACCAGCATTTGAGGTTGGGGTTCCTACCAGGTTAGATGAAAAAAGAAAAAAAAAAAAAAAAAGCAAAATCCAACCAGTCTTATATAAGCTCTTTCTGTATTAAAAGGGTATGTTCCTTTTTCTAAGGCACATCCAAGAAACTGCATACAGCAGTCATCTTTACAATAGTACCTCTATCTCCCAAACTACATTTCTATAATGTCTGATTTTTCCAGGCCTCAGTAGGTCACACCTGTAATCCCAGCAGCTCAAGAGCAGGAGGATCGCGAGTTCAAAGCCAGCCTCAGCAACTTAGTAAGGCACTAAGCAACTCAGCGAGACCCTGTCTCTAAATAAAATACAAAAAAGGGCTGGGGATGTGGCTCAGTGGTTGAGTGCCCCTGAGTTCCATTCCTGGTAACCACCCCCCGCCATGGTCCTGGCTCACCCATCCACCCATCCATCCTCCTTTTCAAAAAAACCAAGAATGACCACAGGGAAAAAAAGAGACCAGAATGAAATGGATTCCTGCCTCATGCAATGCAGTGTCATTTGTTTTCTGCTTAGACTTTTCTGTATTTTTTTAGATTTTTTAGAAAATGCTTTTATAATTAAATAAAAAAGACACCACAAAAAACATTGGACAACTGAACTGTGGTCTGCTCTGGATATTAAAGCAGCTGAGAACGAGCTGGAGGCCTTGGGTGGAGTTGTTCAGGTTCAGCCAGGGCTTGAATCTGTCCCGCGGCTGAGCTGTGGCTGACGGGCAAGGTGTGTGGAGCCCACCAGCCCCTGACAGGGCTCACCAGGCTCATTCATGCGCTGTGACCTGGGCCTGTATGTCAGTTGCCATCCCAGCTTACAGAGAGGCATCCTGGGGCTTTGAGGAGCTAGGTTCTTGCCTATACTCCAGGGGTGTCTGGCAGAGGAGCGGGGGGCCTCCTGACCATGCCCAGTCGGGCCACAGAACACCAGGACCAAGCTTTCCAGCCTCCCCACCCATGGCTCACACCAACAGCCTTGTCTTTCTCCCACCAGGCTCACTGCTGCCTGGCTCGCCAGTCCTTACCCGATTCTCTGCTGCTCCATGACGTCCAGCCGCTCGGCCCTCTGGATGACCTGCAGGATGGCCTCCACCTCTGCTGGGCTGAGGCTCTGGCTCCTCCTCTGTTTCTCGGTCTGGTAGGTGTGCACAGACCAGCCCGTCTGCAGCCTTGGGAGAGAACAAGGGCACCGACCGTGAGGTCTGGTGCAAACTCCAGCACCCTTACCACATCCACAGAGCTGCAGAATGACCTGGGGACAGTCCAGGGGCCACGTGTTTAGAGGTGCCACATGAGAGCTCCTATAAGGCATGGGTATGTGCCTATCGCTGCAGTACTATTATGAGGCAACGTGGCACCTGCTGTCTCCCCCTCCAGAATGGGAGTTTGTAGAAAGCCAGACCCTGCCCCCATCTGGTCCTGGCTCACCCATCCATCCTCCTTTTTACTCTCTACATTCAAACCACACCAGCCTCCTGTCAGCACACTTACATGCCATGTTCTTTCCACCTCAGGGCCTTTACATATGTTGTTCCTTCTGCCTAAAGCTTCCCTTATATCTCCATCTAACATTTACTCCTCCTCTGAGTCTCAACAAAAGCACCACACTCAAAGGAAGTCTCTCCTGACCCCCAGACTATGTTAGCATCCCTATCACATGCCCCCACTGCCAATGATCACTGTGAAAACAGCTGTAGCACATGGGTAAGTGTTTGCACAAAGCTCACCTCCCTGTCTTTGCTTTAAGACAAAGGACCATGTTGGTCTTGTTCACTGCTATACAACCAGTGGTGGATAGTGCCAGAGGACCGGCAGGAAGGCCTGCACTGCAGAGGCCTTGGGCTTGCTTGGAGGGTCCCATGGGGCACAGCTCCCCACTCTGCAAATCCCTGATTTGCACTACTCTCCTGGACACTGCCAGGCCCTACTGGAAGCACACCCTGGGGAAGAGACACAGCATTTGCTTTTCTGGAAGATTCTCTGCCACTGAGCAAGAGCTGCAGTCAGAGAGAAGGACAGGGACCCTGGAGGGGTGAGCAGGGCACATCTGGCTCTGTCAGAGCTCTCTCCAGACTCCTTGCCCTCCCAGGAAGGGCCTGTCGTCTGCCTGGCATTGAAGGACAGGGGTCCACCCTGCGTCCCTGGTCATTCTCCCTGCAGGGGAGAGGCGGAGGCAGCTAAGGGGAGCCAAGCCATCCCAGTGAACCGGACAAATTAACTGTGGGGCAAAAATTCCCGCAAATCATGCATGACACCACTCTTCCTGGGCGTTTCAGATTAATTTTCCTATTTCCCTTTGAAGTTTCAGCTCTGTCCCCCCCGAAGGCTCATAACATCTAATTGCAAATTTCTCAAACTTGGTCCCTTTTGGGAAATACTGGCTCCCATAATTGGCAGAGTTTGACGGAGTCAAGGACACTCTAGAACTTTACCAGACGCCAGGGACCCCCCACCCCTCAGAGGGGCAAAGAGGGATGGGAAGACTGGAGATGCATCCGAGAGCCACACCCCCTAGTCCAGAGGGACATCGGATGGAAGTAGCTGGGGCCAGCCAGAGCTGGGGGGACACCTGGGTTAAAGGGAAAGTCACGATTCCCCAGGGCTCAGACCAAAGCCAGGAGGTAGAGAACCCTGCTAAGAGCATGGGAGAGACCTGAGAAAGAGCCCGACTGGGTCTCAGCCTGAGAGACAGCTCTTCATTCCTGGAGAGGGCCTTGACCTGTACGGTGTGACCATGCCAGGCACTGGACTCTGAAGTGGGCATCCAGAGACCAAGGCTCTGCCTCAAGGGACTTTCAGACTCAAGCCTCAGTGACAGGAGAAAGGGAAAAAAATGAGGTGGTTGGGTCCTCTGTGGCCTGTTGTGATCACACACAGGCATGAGAGTCAGCTGGACCAGATGTGGGTCCCAGTCCGCCCAAGCACATGTTAAATGACATGGGCATTTAACCCAATGTTAACTTAAATGATAACATTAAATGTTAACTTCATTAACTAAATGTTCATTAACTTAAATGATAACATTAAATGTTAACTTCATTAACTTGATGTTCATTAACTTAAATGTTAACTTAATGTTAAATCACATGGGCATCACTTTCCTCATCTGAGAAATGGGAACACATTCCACCTGGTGGGTAAATGACTAAATGAGTGAAGCGCCCAGCCCAGGGGCCAGACAGCGTGCATTTGACGGGCACTTCCCTCCAGGCTTTGCTTCAACTCCCTGGGAAGGAATCTTCCCAAAGGAAGGAAGGCAGCAGGGAGGGAGAGGGAAGGGACAACCTGGTGTGGCCTTGGAAGTACTCACTTGGCTCGCAGGGCAAGCTGCCGATCGTTAGGGCAAACCCACTGATCATTCCCACTGCCGAAGATGGTGTCAGCCATGGCTCAGGGCACCCGGACAGGCACGGGGAGTCACATCTAGTTGAGAAAAAGGAGAAGACAAGAGATGTGGCTGGGATGTGGCTGGCCAACAGAACCCCTCTGCACTCAAGCACGGGACACTTGGCACTTCCAGCCTGTCCCCATATACCGTTCCCACTGATGGCTTCTTATTCCTCCAGCAAAACACAGCTCCCTCAGAGCTCCAGAATCCTGGGTGGGTGACTGGGTGGATCATGTGGCTAAGTGACCAGAGCAGACAAGACTCGCAGGACATCAGAGGGGAAGTTCAGAAAAAGAAGAGGTGCAGCCTTGGTAATTTTCAACTCAGTTGGCAAGATCCAGAGGGCAATCCAACCTTGACCTTCCAGCACCCCACCCCCCCGCCCGAGTACATCCCCTCCAAGAGGGTCCAACCAGGAGGCCAGATAGCTGGGGAAAACTCTCCCCTGTTCCCAAACCTGGGGGATCCAGAATGGCAGCCCCGGGCATCCATGACTCATGTTCCCCAGGGGATCACACGGAAGACCACAGCATTCTCCAGAGCAGGGGAGAGGGCAGGGAGGGGACAGCAGCAGCAAGGACCTCCACCAGGCACTGTCCACCAGGACTGGCCCAGAATCCTGCTCCGGCAAAACCTGGTGGTTTAACACAGTCTAGCTCGGCCACCAAGGATGGGGCCACCTCTTTAAGGATCTATTATGAGAATGCTGCTCGCGCATATTGAAGGAAAGGTGTGTATGTGTGGAGAGAGAAAGAGATGAGCTTGGGCTAGAGCGAGCAAGGAGAGTCACCCTCACCGCCCTGTTCTGATTTAATCTAGGCCAGTGAGTGGTTCCAAAACTCAGCTTTTTAGAAATACTGAGGTGGGCCAGGTGTGGTGGCGCACACCTATGATCCCAGCAACTTGGGAGGCTGAGACAGGAAGACTGCAAGTTCTAGGCTAGCCTGGGCAACTCAGCAAGGCCCCAGCAACTTAGCAAAATAAAAAAAAAAGAAAGAAGAAAGGCTACAAATGCAGAAATGTAGCTCAGTGGTAGAGTGCCCCTCGATTCAATCCTCAGTCCCCAAAAAACACTGAGGTTGGGGCTGGAGTTGTGGCTCAGCGGTAGAGCACTCACCTAGCATGTGCAAGGGGCCTGAGTTTGATCCTCAGCACCACGTAAAAATAAAGATATTGTGTCCAAATATAACTAAAAAATAAATAAAATTTTTTAAAGATAGAGAGAAGAGAGAGAGAGAATTTTTAATATTTATTTTTCAGTTTTCAGTGGACACAACATCTTTATTTTTATTGTTTTTTATGTGGTGCTGAGGATCGAACCCAGCGCCCTGCACATGCCAGGCGAGCGCGTTACCACTTGAGCCACATCCCCAGCCCTAAATAAATATTTTTTTAAAAACCCACTGAGATTGGACCTTTGTTTGTTATTTCCTCAAAATGTTAAACACAGACTTATAATCAAGAAACTCCACTCCTAGGTATATACCCAAGAGCACGAAAGCCTATTTTCACACAAAAACCAGCACAGGACTGTTCATAGCTACATTATTCATAATAGCCCCAAAGTAGAAACAATTAAAATGCTCATCAATTGTTGGAGAAATAAGATGTGCTATAGGCATATGATAAAGATTCTTTGGCCATAAAAAAGGAACGATGTTCTGATACCTGCTATTATATGCCTGAACCTTGGAAACATGATGCTAAGGGTAAAAATACCACATATCATATGATCCCATTTATAGGAAATATCCAGATTAAGCTGATCTATGGAGACTGAAAGTAGATTAGTGGCTGACACAAGCTGAAGGAGTAGTTCCCATCCTCCCCCCCAAAAAAAGCATGAACTTTGTGGGATATGAATCACCACCCATTTGATGTTTTTTGTTGTTGTTGTTTGTGGCAATGGTGACTGAATTCAGGACCTTATTCTACCACTGAGCTATATTGTCAACCCTGTTTTTAAAATTTTTTTTATTTTGAGACAGGGTCTTGCTAAGCCGCCCAGGCTGACCTTGACCTTGCAACCTTCCCTCCCAAGTAGCTGGGATTACAGATGTGTGCCACCATGCCCGGATAAATGTTACAAGATTTTTTGAGGACTCCAAACTATCAGGGTTATATTTATTGGTATGAAATATAAAAATTAAAACAGAAATTTAAAAATTATTGTTAATTCATTAAAAATAATAAACCCACTAGGTTATTATATGGTTTATAAAAATAACTGTTTTCAAAACAAACAATTATTGAGATGAATGGCATTGTTTTGTATTTTTACAAATCTATATAATTTGTAGTTTAACAAAGGACAAGTGGATGTTCTTATCTGCTTTTTCATTCAACCTTTGGTGATATGCTGTTTTGTTAAAGTCTATTCAGAGTGTCACAGGTGTGCAAGACAGGTGGAAGAAGGAGGAGGATTTTAATAGCTTTTCCAGATAATTGTGGATATTTTTCTCTGATACGCCACCAACACTCCACAGACATCAATTTTCTTAAAGATTAGCTCCAGTGTGGCATCTAAAACCACATGTACGAACTTTTCATTTTCTGTACATTTTTAAGAAAATGACCAAGAGTCTTATGATGATAAGGAAAGTAGTTTTGACTTCATGGACCCCTTGCTGGACTGTGCTTAGAGAACTGCTTCCAGACCAATGTCACCCCATTTCTGTGACGACCAGCAGGGGGCAGTGTGCAGAACACAGCTGACTGGCCCCTGCAGGAGCCAAGCCCAGGACCTTACCAATCTGGTCTCAGTCCCACAGGCACATTTGGGCACCTGCTTTTGCAGGTTGGACCTGACATTACACTGTGAGCCACGTGTGGAGACCCCACAGGCAGGTCTCCAGGGGCAGACCCAGGGGCTGGCCAGACACCAAGAGCCTCCCCAGATATCACCCCGGCCCTTCTCTCAAAAGATGGTAACATACAAGTCAGGAAACCACAGGCTCAAAAAACAACATTCCTCCAACTGCTTTCAACCTGTGCCCCAGCCTCAGCCTTTGAAGCACTGTGGATTTCAGAAGGGGTTTTGTTTTTGTTTTTAATTTGTTATCTTGTGAATAGCAGAGTCACACTGCTGTGTGGGTGTGAAATGCATTACTCTAATCAAAGCAAACATTTAAAACGTACTACAGCTCCATACCCCTGTTTCTTTTCTTTTTTTTTTTTAATATTCTGGGAGTTTCAAGAAATGGAAGGAGCAGTACAGCTCCTGTCCAACCTGCAGGGGGCGCTACCTCCTGGGCCACTGCGCTCAGGACAGCAAATCCTGAGCCTTCCAGCTCATTCCCCCTGGGGCTGGGCACAGTAAGGGTGGGGGTGACGACTCTCTGCTCTACCCTGTAGAAACTGGGGAGTAACAGGGCAGTGACAGTCCAGGGAACCTCAGGGTTCCCCTACAGGAAGATCCCATCTTGCAGAACCTTCTGAACTAAAAGACCATGAAGTGCAGGGAGGGGGGATGACAAAAGAACCCCAAGTCCTGATGCCGAAACCTTCATCACCTTGATGAAGAATGAAAGCACCCAGAAGATGGAGGCCCCCAATATGGGTGGTAGATGCTCTTCACGGCCCCCCCCCAAAATCACCCCTACATAGATCTCTAGGGGATGAACTTCTTGTCCCCTTTGGGTCACTTTGGGGCCAGAGTTTGGGGATCACTGGTAAGGGACACCTCAAGGTGCCATTTAGCTGTGCTTTGATCCACTGGGGGTGTATCCCTTTAAAAAAATTAACTTTAGCCAAAACAATCCATCCATCTTCAGCCAGTCACAGGCCATTCTGCTCTGTTCTTCCGAAATCTAATCATTATTCTTTGACGGATGAGGAGAGAGAGAGAGAGAGGTAGAGAGGCTGAGGAAAGGCGCAGCTAGCTATGCTGGTCCACGGCCCTCAGACTAGAGCCACTTTCTCTGCATCATGTTGTCACCTTCTGCAGCAAACCCAGGGGTGGGGAGGGCTTCATGGCAGGGCGAGAGGTGGCAGGAAAGAGACCTGTGCATGTCTGGCTTTTGTGCAAACTTGCTAGAAGCCCAGGGACAAGTCAGTTACCTTCCTGGGGCCTCTGTTTCCCCCGTGGTACTCGAGGGAGCTGAGGGGACAGGCTGAAAAGGCACGGCACCAGGTCCCCACCCTGCTGAGCTGCACAAGGAGGCAGGGACAGGAGGGTCCACACAACAACAAGCTCCTCCCACCCACCACACCTGTCACTGGTGGAGCTTCAGGAGAGACAAGTCCAGAGTGACATGCCATGGAGAATTCAAGGGAAGTGGAAATATGTCGCCTTTGGGGCTAAGTTCCATGGTGCTGGCTGGGAAGGTTCATCTCAGATGCAAGTCTGTGGCTGAGCATGTCCCCAGGGTTGGCTCTGAGCAAAGGTCAGAAAAGAGAACATAGGAGAATTCAAGTCCCAGCTCTGGGACCACAGTGTCCACCCCAGACTGGCTGGCATCTGGGAAGACACAAGTGTCCTTTACCCGCACAGAGTAACCTCAGGACAGATCGGGGAGAGGACGAAGAATTCCAAGAGGAACATTTTTGGAATCTGCCAACAACCAGCGTAGGTTCTCCAAACCTCTTCAGCCTGAGTTGCCAGGTCCCTGACTTGGCAGCAGATGAGGACCTCACATATGGACCCTTGTCCCTGGCTCCCAGACTTCTTCACCAGGGGCTTCTCTGCCAAATGATGTGCTCACCTTCTCCCCGCCACACACACACACATTCCTGAGCTCTGTGCCTCCTCAAGGGTGGTCTCGAACAAGAGGGGCAACCCACACCCTAAGAGTTGGGTCCTCCAGAGTTCCACAGAACCATATTATATGCGATAAATAGGCACCATACCCTTGTGATAATGGCAGTTAACTAGACAAACATTAACTTACGAGGGAACCAAACTGGGGCTTATAGAAGGTGGTTTAAAAAGCAGGGAGGTGCTGGTGGGACTGCAAATTGGTGCAGCCAATATGAAAAGCAGTATGGAGATTCCTTGGAAAACTGGGAATGGAACCACCATTTGACCCAGCTATCCC